TGAGATCAGTGGACAGCATCACTGACTTGATGAACTTGAGTTTGAACAAGCTCTGGGAGTTGATGATGCACAGGGAAGCCTGTCGTGCTGCAGTCCATGGGGACACAAATAGTCGGACACAACTGAGCAACTAAACTGAACATTTTCAAATGGGAGAAAACCATCAAGTACTTTTTTTGTGTGTCAATAGAGGAATCAACCTAGTTATTTATATCTAGCAAAACTAGCAGACTTTGCTCTGTGTCAGAAAGCAAGTCAGGGGCAATTCCCTGGGAGTCCAGTAGTTTGGACTCTGCACTTCCACTGCAAGGGGAATGAGTTCAGTCCCTGTCAGGGAACTAAGGTCCTGCATGTCCAGCAGCATGTCCAAAAAAAGAGAAAGCAACAACAGGAACAACTTATTCAATAATGATTACCCTAAGCCACATCTTTTAAATGGCTTTATTTTTTTATTTAATTTAATTTTATATTGGAATATAATTTATACTTGATCTTAGCCAAAAGGCTGAGAAGCAATGGAATATAATTTATAATGTGTTAGTTTCAGATTTACAGCAAAGTGATCAGATATACAGTTATAGATATACATATATCTATTGCTTTTCAGCTTCTTTTCCCATGTAGATTATTACAAAACATGGAGTAGAGTTCCCTGTTCCATACAGTAGGTCCTTGTAGATTACCTGTTATATATATAGTAGTATATATATGTTAATTTCAGACTCTTAACTTATTCCTCCCCCCATCTCTCCCCATTGGCAACCATAAGTTGAAGTCTGTTGCTGTTTTGTAAGTAAGTTCATCTATATCATTTTTTTTAGATTCCACATGTGATGTCATATGATATTTATCTTTCTTTGACTTAGTTCACTTAGTATAATAATCCCTAGGTTCATCCATGTGGCTACAGATGGCATTATTTCATTCTTTCTTATGGCTAATATTCTATTGTGTATATGTGCCACATCTTCTGTATCCATTTCTCTGTTGATGGACATTGGGTTGCTTCCATGTCCTGACTATTGTAAATAGTGCTACAGTAAACATTGGAGTGCATGTATCTTTTTAAATTATGGTTTTCTCCAGATTCATACCCAAGAGTGGGATTGCTGGATCATATGGTAGTTCTTAGGTTTTTTTTTAATGTTTTATTTATTTATTTTTGGCTGTGCTAGGTCTTTGTTGCTATGCAGGCTTTTTTCTAGTTGTGGCAGCTACTTTCTAGTTGGGGTGCACGAGCTTCTCATCCCAGGGGCTTCTCTTGTTGCCTGTGGAGCACTGGCTCTAGGGCTTCAGTACTTGTGGCGTGTGGGCTCAGTATTTATGGCTTTGGGGCTCTAGAGCAGAGGCTCAATAGTTGTGGCATGTGAGCTTAGTTGCTGCTCAGCATGTGGAAGCTTCCTGAATCAGGGATTGAACCCATGTCTCCTGCACTGGCTGGCAGATTCTTTACCACTGAGCCACCAGGGAAGCCCTATATTTAGTTTTTTAAGGAACCTCCATCCTGTTCTCCATAGTGGCTGCACCAGTTTACATTCCCTCTGACCCTGCAGGAAGGTTCCCTTTTCTCTACACCCTCTCCAACATCTATTGTTGGTAGACTTTTTGATAATGGCCATTCTAACCAGTGTGAGGAGATACCTTATTGTAGTTTTGATTTGCATTTCTCTAATAATTAACAGTGTTAAACATCTTTTTATGTACTTTTTGGCCATCTGTATGACATCTTTGGAGAAATGTCTGTTTAAATTTTCTGCCCATTTTTGATTGTTTGTTTTTTTATTTGAGCTGCATGAGCTGTTTGTATATTTTGGAGATTAATCCCTTTTGGTTGCTTCATTTTTACATATTTTCTCCCATTCTGTGGGTTTTCTTTTCATTTTGTTTGTGGTTTCCTTTGCTGTGCAAAAGCTTTTAAGTTTAACTAGACCCCATTTGCTTGTTTTTGTTATGGTTTCATTACTTTAGGAGGTAGATCCAAAAGATATTGCAGTAATTTATGTCAAAGTGTTCTGCCTATGTTTTCCTTTAGGAGTTTTATAGTATGCAGTCTTAGGTCTTTCTTTAATCCATTTTGAGTTTACTTTTATAAATTGTATCAGAGAATGTTCTAATTTCTTTTACATGTAGTTGTCCAGTTTTCCCAGAACCACTTATAGAAGAGACTGGCTTTTCTTCTTTGTGTGTTCTTGCCTCCTTTGTCATAGATTAATTGACCATGGGTGCTTAGGTTTCTTTCTGGGCTTTCTATCCTGTTCCATTGATCTATAAGTAGCTTCACTGATCAATCTGGACCACCTAAAATTCCTTTGGCTTCCCTCTGCTAAATCGTTGGGCATTGGAGCTCAACCATGTTCAAGTATTGAACACCCCAAAAGCCTAACTCGCTGTGTCAAAAACTAACTTTTCTTGGTTCTTCTTTGTCTTTAAAACTGTCCATATTAGTGAGTGTAGCTGCTCCAAGTTATAAAATTAGCATTTACTTTAATAAATTCCAGATGTCTAAAAGGAAGTCTTTAGAAGGAAGATCTTGACCAAGTATTATAACTTTTTGCTGCCAAAGCATTATAGCTAGCTAAAATCTTTCATTTTACTTAATCTCCCTTTTCCTCTCACAAATTTACACTAGTTAGGCTAGCCAGAAAACAAGCCTTATTTTATGAGAATGAGTCCTATAAATTTGCCTAGAATGACATTGAGTCATACTTCTGAATGAATTATTTCCATCCTCAGACTTGTAAGGCATTATTTTTTGAGTCCCTCATCTTTAAGTTTCGACATCATTTGAGCATGCATTCTTTTGTCTAAGAATGAAGAGCGCACAGAAAGCATCATTTGTGTGCCAAGATGGGAACAGACTTAATAAAGAGAAAATTTTGATACTACCCTTTGGAAAAATTATAGCTCCATTAAGGAAATAGCTGGGTTTGCTTATTTATACAAATATCTTATCATGATTAACCAAGTATTTTATTTTGGAATCCTTTAGAAGAAATGGAGTAGCCTTCATAGTCAACAAAAGAGTCCAAAATGCAGTACTTGGATGCAATCTCAAAAATGACAGAATTATCTCTGTTCGTTTCCAAGGCAAACCATTCATATCACAGTAATTCAAGTCTATGCCCTGACCAGTAATGCCTGAAGAAGCTGAAGTTAAATGGTTCTATGAAAACCTACAAGACCTTTTAGAACTAACACCCAAAAAAGATGTCCTTTTCATCATAGAGGACTGGAATGCAAAAGTAGGAAGTCAAGAGATACCTGGAGTAACAGGCAAATTTGGCCTTGGAGTACAGAATGAAGCAGGGCAAAGGCTAATAGAGTTTTGCCAAGAGAACACACTGGACATAGCAAACACCCTCTTCCAACAACACAAGAGAAGACTCTACACATGGACATCACCAGATGGTCAATACCAAAATCAGATTGATTATATTCTTTGCAGCCAAAAATGGGGAAGCTCTATACAGTCAAAACAAGACTGGGAGCTGACTGTGGCTCAGATCATGAGGTCCTTATTGCCAAATTCAGGCTTAAACTGAAGAAAGTGGGGAAAACCACAAGACCATTTAGATATGACCTAAATCAAATACCTTATGATTATGAAGTGAAAATGAGAAACAGATTTAAGGGACTAGATCTGATAGTCATAGGGCCTGATGAACTATGGAGGGAGGTTTGTGACATTGTACAGGAGACAGGG